TGGGCAGCACCCGGGGCGTCCTCATCGAGCCCGTGTACCCCGACATCATCCGCATGGTGAGCCCGCGCCCGGCCTGGGGGCAGGACGCGTCCCGCACGCCCGCCCTGGGCCTCACCGGGGCCTTGCACCTGCCGAGGGGCGGGGAAGGGTCTCCTGCGGTGACTGCCCACGGGAGACGTGAGAAGCGCGGGCGAGGCTGGTCCTCAGAGCGCCCTGGCTCCAACCCCTCAGATCTCAGTGAACATCTTCCGGACCCTGCCGCCCAGCGAGAACCCCGAGTTCGACCCCGAAGAGGACGAGCCCAACCTGGAGCCTTCGTGGCCGCATCTGCAGGTGTGAGGGCCGGGAGGCAGGGCGCCCCGTGTCGCAAGCGCTCAGGACTGGGGCGAGGGGCTCCCGGGCCCCGGCCCTGGGGAAGGGCTGGCCCGGACACGCCGTCCGTCCCCTCCGCAGCTGGTGTATGAGTTTTTCCTGCGTTTCCTGGAGAGCCCCGACTTCCAGCCCTCCGTGGCCAAGAGATACGTGGATCAAAAGTTTGTCCTGATGGTGAAGTGGGGAGCCCAGGCGGGGTGGCGCCCCAGGGCGTGGGCTGGCTCCCAGAGGGGCGTGGGTGGGCCGGAAGCGCCCTGGGCTGGGCCCCTCACCCGAGCCTGAGCCCGGCTCCCGCAGCTGCTGGAGCTCTTTGACAGCGAGGACCCTCGCGAGCGTGAGTACCTCAAGACCATCCTGCACCGGGTCTACGGCAAGTTCCTGGGGCTCCGGGCCTACATCCGCAAGCAGTGCAACCACATTTTCCTCCGGTGAGGCCCCTGCCTGCCCGCAGCGCCCTGGGGGGCGGGGCCCTGCCGGGGTGCTGGCTCCCGGGGGTCTTCCTCAGCAGCCTGGTCCGTGTTCTGGCTAAACGAAGCCGGTGCAGGCAAAGAACACGGCGGTTACTTCCACTTCGCTGATGATGTGGTGGAGGCCGAGAGGGCGCGGTCCACAGGGGCCGCGTCTTCCCAGCGGTGTCACGCTGGGCCGTGAGGAGGGGGAGGGTTCTCCGTGCGGTGCGGGGCCCACGGCCCGGCGGTTGGCGGCCGCTCACGAGGGAGCCGTCGGCCGAGCGTGCTGGTCCCTGTCCGCCAGGCCCTCGGAGAACCCCATATGTGTACCACCGCTTTGGTTTTTGTTTTGTTTTGTTTCTTTTTTAGAGACTTACTTATTTTTTAAAAAGATTTATTTATTTATTTATTTGAAAGTCAGAGTTAGAGAGAGAAGGAGAGAGAGAGAGAGAGAGAGAGAGAGAGAGTTCTTCCATCCACTGGTTCACTCCCCAGATGCCACAACAGCCAGAGCTGTGCCGATCCAAAGCCAGGAGCCAGGAGCTTCTTCCAGGTCTCCCACGCAGGTGCAGGGGCCCATAGACTTGGGCCATCCTCCACTGCTTTCCCAGGCCACAGCACAGAACTGGATCGGAAGTGGAGCAGCCGGGACTCGAACCAGCGCCCATATGGGATGCCGGCACTGCAGGCGACGGCTTTACCCGCTACACCACAGCGCCGGCCCTTTAAAGATTTACTTTTTTTTTTTTTTTTAATTTTTTTTTTTTTTTTTTTGACAGAGTGGACAGAGAGAGAGAGAGAGAGAGAGAGAGAAAGGTCTTCTTTTGCTGTCGGTTCACCCTCCAATGGCTGCCGCGGCCGGCGCACCGCGCTGATCCGATGGCAGGAGCCAGGTGCTTCTCCTGGTCTCCCATGGGGTGCAGGGCCCAAGCACCTGGGCCATCCTCCACTGCACTCCCTGGCCACAGCAGAGAGCTGGCCTGGAAGAGGAGCAACCGGGACAGAATCCGGCGCCCCGACCGGGACTAGAACCCGGTGTGCCAGCGCCGCAAGGTGGAGGATTAGCCTAGTGAGCCGCGGCGCCGGCTAAAGAGTTACTTATTTGAAAGGCGGGTGACAGAGGGAGAGAGAGAGAGAGAGAAGCACATAGATGGGTCTTCCATCTGCTGGTTCACTCCCCAGGTGACCACAGTGGCCAGGGCTGGGCCAGGCTGAAGCCGGGAGGCGGGAGCTCCATCCATCCAGGTCTCCCGTGGGGGTGCAGGGGCCCAAGCACGTGGGCCGTCTTCTGCTATTTTCCCAGGCGCATTAGCAGGGAGCTGGATGGGAAGTGGAGCAGCCGGGACTCGAACCCACACTCCTATGGGATGCCATGGTCACAGGCAGTGGCTCAACCCTTTGCTCCGTAGTGCCAGCCCCACCACTTTTTTTTTTTTTTTTAAAGATATATTTATTTGAAAGGCAGAATAAGAGAGAGAGAGAGAGATCTTTCACCTGCTGGTTGATTCCCCAAATGGCTGCAATAGCCAGGCTGGTCCACGCTGAAGCCAGTCCCCCAGATCTGGTCCGGGTCTCCCACGTGGATCTCGGGGCCATCGTCCAGCCGCCTCCATGGGCACGTTAGCGGGGAGCTGGATCGGAGGCGGGGCGGCGCTTGGTCTGGGGTGCTGGTGCCGCAGGTGGCCCCTTACCCTGCGGCCCCGCAGCTCAGGCCCTGATCCAGCGCTTAACCGACTCTGGGGCCGAAGCTCAGCCACCGCCGAGCCTCGACCTGCCCTTCTGCAGAGTGGGCACAGCGCTCCCCGCTCCTTGGTGTCGGGGTCAGGCCAGAGGGTCAGGGCTGAGCTAGAACTTCACCAGAGAAAGGAGGAGGCGTGGCGGGGGTGCTGGGCCGAGGCGGGCGTCTCAGGTGTAGCCCCCGGCCCCCGCCGCCCTGACCTGCCTGCTGTCCCGCAGGTTCATTTATGAGTTCGAGCACTTCAATGGCGTGGCAGAGTTGCTGGAGATCTTAGGAAGGTGACAGCGGGGCGGCAGGCGGCGGGTGGCGGGCCCGGGTGGGGGGGCGGGGGGGGCTGGGTCGCGACCGTCCCCTCCGTCCTCCTCAGCATCATCAACGGCTTCGCGCTGCCCCTGAAGACCGAGCACAAGCAGTTCCTGGTTCGAGTCCTGATTCCCCTGCACTCCGTCAAATCCCTGTCCGTCTTTCACGCCCAGGTGAGGCCAGGCCGGTGGGCCACCCCCGCCCATCCCGCCCTGGTACACCTGCCTGGTGAGTGGGAGCGGGGGTCCTCGGCGCCCCGCCCCCTGCTCACCCCAGGCCTCCTCCTCCCCACCCCCCCTCCAGCTGGCCTACTGCGTCGTGCAGTTCCTGGAGAAGGACGCCACGCTGACAGAGCACGTGAGTCCTGCGGGGGTGGGGGTGGGGTGGGGTGGGGAGCAGGCCCTCGCCTCTGCAGGTCTGAGCCCCTCTGCCTCACCCCCACAGGTGATCCGCGGGCTGCTCAAATATTGGCCAAAAACCTGCACCCAGAAGGAGGTACGCAGCAGGGGGAGGTTGGGAGGGCTCAGCTTCCAGGAGGCGAGCAGGGGTGGGTGTGCAGGCCGGGCGTGGACTTGAGCCGCCGACCCTGTGGCCCAGGTCATGTTCCTGGGGGATGGGGGCGCGTGGGCCGACCCCGTGGCCCAGGTCATGTTCCTGGGGGAGGTGGGGGGCGTGCGGGCCGACCCCGTGGCCCAGGTCATGTTCCTGGGGAGGTAGGGGGTGTGTGGGCTGACCCTGTGCCCCAGGTCATGTTCCTGGGGGGATGGGGGGGGTGTGGGCCGACCCCGTGGCCCAGGTCATGTTCCTGGGGGGGATGGGGGGTGTGCGGGCCGACCCCGTGGCCCAGGTCATGTTCCTGGGGGGGATGGGGGGTGTGTGGGCTGACCCCGTGGCCCAGGTCATGTTCCTGGGGGGATGGGGGGTGTGCGGGCCGACCCCGTGGCCCAGGTCATGTTCCTGGGGGGATGGGGGGTGTGTGGGCTGACCCTGTGCCCCAGGTCATGTTCCTGGGGGGGATGGGGGGTGTGCGGGCCGACCCCGTGGCCCAGGTCATGTTCCTGGGGGGGATGGGGGGTGTGTGGGCCGACCCCGTGGCCCAGGTCATGTTCCTGGGGGAGGTGGGGGGTGTGTGGGCCGACCCCGTGCCAGGTCATGTTCCTGGGGGGATGGGGGCGCGTGGGCCGACCCCGTGGCCCAGGTCATGTTCCTGGGGGAGGTGGGGGGTGTGCGGGCCGACCCCGTGGCCCAGGTCATGTTCCTAGGGGGATGGGGGGCGCGCGGGCCGAGCGTGGACTTGAACTCCGACCCCGTGCCAGGTCATGTTCCTGGGGGGATGGGGGGTGTGCGGGCCGACCCCGTGGCCCAGGTCATGTTCCTGGGGGGATGGGGGGTGTGCGGGCCGACCCCGTGGCCCAGGTCATGTTCCTGGGGGGATGGGGGGCGCGCGGGCCGAGCGTGGACTTGAACTCCGACCCCGTGCCAGGTCATGTTCCTGGGGGGATGGGGGGTGTGCGGGCCGACCCCGTGGCCCAGGTCATGTTCCTGGGGGGATGGGGGGTGTGCGGGCCGACCCCGTGGCCCAGGTCATGTTCCTGGGGGGGATGGGGGGGGTGTGGGCCGACCCCGTGGCCCAGGTCATGTTCCTGGGGGGGATGGGGGGTGTGTGGGCTGACCCCGTGGCCCAGGTCATGTTCCTGGGGGAGGTGGGGGGTGTGTGGGCCGACCCCGTGGCCCAGGTCATGTTCCTGGGGGGATGGGGGCGCGCGGGCCGAGCGTGGACTTGAACTCCGACCCCGTGCCAGGTCATGTTCCTGGGGGAGGTGGAGGAGATCCTGGACGTCATCGAGCCCTCCCAGTTTGTGAAGATCCAGGAGCCCCTGTTCAAGCAGGTGGCTCGCTGTGTCTCCAGCCCCCATTTCCAGGTGTGCGTCGGGGCGGGCGGGACCAGGGCCGGGGGAGGAGCGCAGCTGATCTAACAGACCCCTCTCGGCCTCAGTTTCTCTTCCAGTCCTAGGTCTGGTAATGGGGAGAGGCCGGACTTGGGGTCAGGAGACCTAGGTCAGGCGAATCACTCCATCACCCCGAGTCTGGTTAAGCTTCCTCCCCTGTAAAACAGGCCAAGGACCACCTCCTCCCGGGGCGGGGTGAGGCCGGAGCCCGCACAGCGCAGGCTCTTTGGTACAGGAGGGGGCCGTCTCCGGCGTCCTGTTCCCTCCCTTCGTGGCCGGCGGCTTCATTGGTGGCTTCCCCACCCCGCCCTGGCCACGGGGGCCCGTGGTGCCCTGCACAGGAGTTCACTCCCCTCAGAGGCCGCCCTCAGCGGGAGCCATGTCTGCCTCACAGCCATCAGGGCCTCCGTGCTCACAGCTGTAGCACCTCACTGGCTTCCTCAGGTGCAGTATTCGTAGCCCCGGTCTGCAGGGGACACACTGAGGTTGGGGGTCACGTGGCCTCGCGGGCCTGGATAGAGGGAGCACTGCCCCCGAGTTTGGACCCAAATCTGCTTCCCGCCGGTCAGACGAGCCCCGAGGGGGTGTGGAGGCGGGGGCCTGGGGTTGGCGAGGGGCGGGTTCCAGAGCTCGCCGCCGTCTCGCCGTCTCGCCTGCGCAGGTTGCAGAGCGGGCTCTGTATTTCTGGAACAACGAGTATATCCTGAGCCTCATTGAGGACAACTGCCACACTGTGCTGCCTGCTGTCTTCGGGACCCTCTACCAAGTCTCCAAGGAGCACTGGAATCAGTGAGCGCCCAGCTGGGACCCGGCCCACAGACCCGGGAGCAGGGCCAGCCGGTCCTTGCTGGAGAATCGGAGAAAGTGCTGGAAGGGGGAGGGGGCACAGGCGGAGCGTGCAGGAGCAGGTGCACCCAGCGGGAGGCCCCTGCCACAGCCCCTTCCCTTGGCCTGTCTAGAACCATCGTGTCTCTCATCTACAACGTGCTCAAGACCTTCATGGAGATGAACGGGAAGCTGTTTGATGAGCTCACGGCCTCCTACAAGCTGGAAAAGCAGCAGTGAGTGGTGGGGGCTGGGGTGGGGGGAGGAGAGAGCAGGAAGGAGCGAGACCCCGGGGGAAGTGGCGGCGGCGGCAGAGGGGCGCCCTGAGCCCTGTCTGGTCACACGCTCAGACCTCCCCGCCCCCCGCCAGTCTAGCCGCGGTCCCCCCGGCTTCCTCAGATTCAGCTAGGGCCGCCCAGAGTCCCCACGGTGGGGGTCAGCGTCTCCTCAGCTCTCCCCCCAAGCCGGGGTCCCCTCGAGCCTCCCTCGGAGAGCATGCCTCAGGCTGCCCCTTGCAGCGGGGGTGGTGAGGGAGGCTGGGCCCTGGGTCGCCCCCCGGGCGGTGGAGCTGCCTCGCCTCTCTCCCCAGGGAGCAGCAGAAGGCCCGGGAGCGTCAGGAGCTGTGGCAAGGTCTGGAGGAGCTGCGGCTGCGCCGGCTACAGGGGACCCAGGGGACCCAGGGGGCCAGGGAGGCCCCCCTGCAGCGGTTCGTACCCCAGGTGGCTGCCACTGGAGGCCAGAGCTAGAGAGCCCTCCGGCAGGGACGACACCCGGAGCGGCAGACCCTCCCTCCCTCCTCCTGCCTGGGCCGCAGGGAGCCAGGGAGGAGGGGGCGGCCTTGGCAGCTGAACTCCAGGCCCTGGAGGCAGGACTTGACTGGGCGAGTGACCGGGAAGCTGCTGGAGGCCACGCCGGGCTCCGGATGGCAGGCAGCCCCCGCCTGCTCCCGGCCCCGGACAGGGCCCTCCACACCTCGCCTGCCCGTCTCGCGCCCGCCGTGGGCTCCATGTCTATTTATTCTCGCCCGCTCCCCCTCAGCACAGACGCCGTCCTGGGCCTGAGCGTCTCCCCCACCTTCGCCCTCGGCTTCCTGTCCCCTTTTTATTTATTCCGCAGGGGGAGGGGTGAGGGCACAGTGCCCTGGGTAAGAGGGGTCGCAGCAGTCCTGGTCTTCCCCCTCCCCTGGCTGGGGGCAGACTTAATAAAGAGAGAAGCTCAAGACCGGCTGCTTTATTCAGGGGTGGGCGGAGAGGGCAGCGCGGCCCGAGCCTGGCTGGGGGCACCGCAGGCTCTTAGGAGGGCAGAGCCGGAGCCCCAGGTGCGGAGCCCCGGGCCCGGGGAGGGCGGGGGTGGCCGGGCTAGTGGCGGGCGAGGCGGCACATGTCGCACTGGCAGGCCCTGGCCGTGAAGATCTCGAGCTGCTCCCTCCGGCGGCCCCGGCACTGCAGCTGCACCCTCACCTGTGCCGGGGCAGTCTGCTCCAGGCGCCTGCGCGGGGCCGTCCTGGGTCCCCGCCTCCCGTCTCCCTCCACCCGACGCCCCATCCCACTCCCCCACCCCCGCGCGGGCCCCCCTCACCTTTTCCAGGCTGCTGATGGTGCAGCACTGGGAGACAGAGGTGATGTTGTGTCGGTAGCCGCTGGCCACCAGCACAGAGTACCGGGAGGGGAAGGCGCTGGACTCGCAGTGGCCCACACAGGCCTGAGCCACGTGGGAGCCCCGGCAGGTGCCTTGCCGGTCACTTCGCACTGTCACATTGAAGGCTAGACGGAGGCAGCGAGGGGTGGATGGGGGCTCGCCCAGCGCCTGCTGGCTGCCTCCCGGGGGTCTGTCTAGGGTGCCACCTGTCTGTCAGCTCCTTGCTCCCGCCCAGAACTTCCGCTCCCCCAGCCCTCTGGCCCCCGAGGTACTCACGGTGTAAGTGACAGCCGGGAGTGGCGGCCTCGCGACCCCAGCCTTCAGCGAGGACGACCAGCAGGCAGAGGAGCAGGGCCTGGGGGTACCTGGCGGGCACCTGAGGCGCCGTGGGTGGTCAGGTGAGCGCGCTTGCTGCAGGTGCGTGGAGGGCTGTCTTCCCCGTATGTGGCCGCCTGCCCGCCATGTGAGCGCTGTCTCTGAGTGGGACTGTGTGGCAGCCCTCTGTGCACGGGGTCTCCCCTGGAGCACAGGCCTCCTCCCCCCACCCGCCGGGCCCTCACCCCCCTCCCCCCCCCCCCCGGGCCCCTCACCATCTCTGAGGCTCAGGAACGGAGTGGCTCAGTGTCTCCCCGCCTTGGTCTCCGCTGGCCCGGACTGGGCCCCGCTGTCAGGCTTTTTATTTGCCGGCCTTTGGGAGCCACGCCCCCCTGGAGATCAGCTTTCAGCCCGCCTCCCAGCCTGAGGCCTCGGGCAGTCCCACCTGGGAGATTGTCTGGGGTCTCGGGGTCTTGGGGTCTCCAAGGTGCGGTGCTCGCAGTCTTGTCCGAAACTCCCGCCCAGGGCTGGCGGAGTGGGGCAGGTGCGCAGGTGGGGAGGCGGGGAGACAGCTCCATCAAGGCCGTTGTGGCCTTGGTGGGGGGCACTTGCCTGTCCAGGACCTCCCGCTCCCAGCCTTGACACCACTGTCCTGCAGAGAAAGGGCCTGGGGAAGGAGGGGGCACGGGGGTCTCCTGGGTGCCCCCGGGGTGACGGTCTGTTCAGAGCTCCACTCCCAGCGTCAAGTGGATGACCTCGCTCCCAAGGGTCAGCCAGAGTGGGGCTCTGAGCTGGCGGCCCCCGAGTGCCTGGCGTAACAGAGTCCCCTCCTGGAAGATGCGGTGTATCTGATCACCTGATCTGAGTCCAGCCTCGGACAGGTGAGGCAAGCAAGCCTCGGAGGAGGGCCACCCACTACAGCCGCTCAGGGTCAGGCGGACTGGCGCTCAGCGGTCGTCAGCCAGCAGTGGTAGACGGCACTGGCAAAGAGCTGGGGGAAGCCGCCAGGGGGCTGGGGCGGGGAGGGGTCAGAAGGGGGCTGCTCAGGAGGGGCCGGCCCCAGATTGCCAGGCTGTCAGCGCCGCTGTTGCCCATGTCGGCTGTGCTGGGGTGCTCAGCTCCCAGTGCCCACTCCCCCACTCCCAGGGCACCCCTCGAGCATGCAACAGGTAGTCAGCTGTGTAGAAGCTTCGGGTGACGGGCTGCGACCTCACCGGGTGGCCTGTTCCAGCACCGGACGTCTATTAGGGTTGTTAGGAAACTGGCACAGTTGTAGCCAGGTGGCCGCAGGGCCAGCTACCTGTGCCAGGCTCCACCCCCATCCTACTGCTCCTGCTTCCCTGCCCCTCAGGCAAAGTGTTACGGGGCCTGTTCCTGCACGCGCTCTCTGGCTCTGCTCTCGTGGCTTCTCTCCTGCGCTCTCTCGGTTCCTCTCTAGTCGCCTCCTCTGGTCTCTCGGCTCTCTCTGCTCTCTCCTCCCTCTTCTCTCCTCGCTAGCTCCTCTCCTCTCTGTTTCTCTCTTATACTCTTTCTCTTTTCCCTTCGCCGCCCCTTCACTCCGGACTGTGGGGTGTTCCCCAATAAGCCCTTTCCCTTACTCCGGCGTTCGGTGTGTTTTGAGATGGCTGACGTTAATGTGTAACAAGGGTGGAAAACGCTTCCCTCGCTCCGAGCGGACATGACCTCCACATCTCACTGGTCATTTGGTCCCATGCACATCTAAACTGTCCCAGCCCAGTGCCTTGGCTGCAGGTGGAGCTCCGGTGCCCTGGTCTTCTCCGGGGTCCTCGTCTGCTGACCCCAGCGCCGACCCGACAGAGTGACGGGCTTTCCCGTCAAAGCCTGAGGGACAGCGGGCGACAGGCGCGTTACCTTGGAGAAGCTACACTTTGCCGCCAAACTGGGTGAGTTTGTGGGGGAGATCACTTCTTTGGGGGTCAGTAGGGCTCAGAAGGGAGTCTCAAGGCCCCTTCTCCTCGGCCCGGCAGTGCCGGCGGGGGTCGAAGCTCAGGTGCTGTTTCTCGGACCTGGAGGGAACAGCTGGTTCTCTCCACTTCCACTTATTCCATCAGTAACTCTCCGAAAACGACTTATCATCAGTAGGCTCCTAAGTGCTGAAGACACAACACTAAACTGGCCCTGGGGCAGCGAAATTCCCAAGATGTTAGGAAGTTGCATTCTTTTTAAAAAATTTAATTTTAAATTGGAACAAAAACATTCAATTATAAGGTGGCAAAGAACCGGACAAACCCACGGGAGGACCCCTCATGGGGCCTCGGTGCTCGTGGCCGAGGCGTCCTAAGGCGAGGACAGGGCCGGAGGAGGCGCGGCCGCTGGGCTCCAGGTGCCCTCGCTCCGGGCAGGCTCCCTCGCTCCGGGCAGGCTCCCCGCTGCTCTTCCTGAAGAAGTACCGGAACGGGAAGAGGGCGCTGCAGGACGAGAAGCAGGGGCTGACCGCGAGGCCTCCCCCCTCCCCCCGCGTCTGCTCTGGGGAGCCAGTCTGGAGCAGCGCTCGGAAGGGCCCTCACATGAGGTTATATGGGGGGGGGGGGGGGGGACAGACTTGCAGTGGGTGGCTGCCCTGCGACGGAGGGACCTACTGGGTTCTGCTCTGCAAAAGGGCTCCCAGGAGGCAGCCGGGGTCAGAGGGGAGCAGAAGCATCTGGTGGCCATCATCCGGGTGGCCAAGGCAGGCAGCAGCCGGCCGTTCAGCCCGCGCTCCTGGAGCCTGGCCCTACACAGGCCTCAGGACCGAGGGGACCGAGGGGAGCTGTGCAGGGGCCAGGAAGACCCTGTTCTCGAGCCCCTTTCTATCGTCTGTCCTGGAAGGAACCGTGGAAGCTCTGCCGCGGCGGGGCGGGGCGGGGCAGCACTGTCTTACCGCACAAAGCCGAAGAAGCCGCCGGCTGCTGTCTCTCCAGGGGGAGGCAGGCTGTCTTCCCGCGGTGGGGGAACAGCTGGCTCTGCAGCACGGGGTCTGCGCCTAGACTCTGTAAGGAAAGCGCTCAGGCGGGAGCAGAGGGGAGTCCAGGACTGTGTTCATGTGAGCAGCCTCCCGCCAAGCTCTCTACAGCCAGGTGAGCTGTGTGTCCTGACCCTCACCCCCACCCCCAAGTTCATCTCGGCACAGAAGACGCTAGTCTGACCTTGGGGCATTTCCAAAGTCAGGCTCCTGAGCGATGTCCCCAGGTCAAGCCCAGCCCCCCCCCCCCCCCCCCCCCGCCATGGCTGCTGTTTCCACAGGGGCAGGAACTGCTTGGAGAGCTTGTTCCAGCCCTGCTTCCGGGACCACAGCCCACTGAATCCTCGTGCTGGTGGAAGGGCAACACCTCAGCAGGCCGGGCGTCCCCGGCCACGGTGGCACTTGCAACACCAACGCCACACATGCCTCCCGGGCGGGGGCATCAAGTTCGCCACCAGAAGCCGAGGACGACAGCAATTCCTGCCTTCACTCCTTTAGGACGCGGACGAGGGGCTCCTAACAAGCCGCACCCAGGACGAGGCCCGCCACCCACTCAGTGAGCGCACTCAGCCTGGTGCTGCTCCTTGCTCAGCAGAACCACGGGGCGCAGGGGAATCACTGAGGGAGACACACGGGGAGTGTCCAGAACCTACCCTCTTCCTGGACGTCCGTGGGGTCAGAGGCCGAGGTCTGCTGACACTCCTGCTGGGTTTTTCTTTCCTTGTTCTGATAAAAAGAAATCCAAGAAAGGTCTCAGAGCTTGATGACCTCACGCTATTCGCTGGTGAACTAACTCACATCAGCATGGGCTATGGCTTCCGGCCTACCAGGCACGTTCTCTGTTTCCTGCTGGAGGACTGTCCTTGCTACATTCCAGCCTCCTAATCATTGTCCCTAGAAAACCAGAAGATGTAAAAGCAGAGAACAGGGGCCAGCCCTGTGGTGTAGTGGGTAAAGCCACGGCTTGCAGTGCCGACATCCCATATGGGTGCCGGTTTAAGTCCCAGCTGCTCCACTTCTGATCCAGCTCTCTGCTGTGGCCTGGGAAAGCAGTAGAAGATGGCCCAAGTCCTTGAGCCCCTGCACCCGCATGGGAGACCCAGAAGAAGCTCCTGGCTCCTGGCTTTGGATCGGCGCAGCTCCAGCCGTTGTGGCCAATTGGGGAGTGAACCAGCGGATGGAAGACCTCACTCTCTCTCTCTGCCTCTTCTCTCTGTGTAACTCTGACTTTCAAATAAATAAATAAATCTCAAAAATAAATAAAAAAGAAGAGCCAAGAACAAACCAAGCTGGGCTGAACCTGCATTCCACGTTACTGAGTCCCGGAACGCTGAGGCTTCAGAACGCACGCGGACCTTAGCGTGGACGTGGAGAAACGCGTAATCAGTGGGGTGACGCCGGTGCCCAGCCGAGTGTCAGCAGCCAGGGCAGTCTCTGCAGCGCCCCTCCCTGGGAACGTGACGCATCAGCAGGGCCCTGAGTGAGTGGAGCTTCATCCACTGGTCAAGGACAGCACAGAATTCCAGACAGGGCCACTCAAGGAGGAGCACCGCCTGTGACGGCAGCGTCCCACGTGGGTGCTGGTGTGTCCTGGCTGCTCCACTTCCCATCCAGCTCCCTGCTAGTGGCCTGGGAAGGCAGCAAAAGATGGCCACTGCCACCCACATGGGAGACCCAGAAGAAGCTTCTGGCTTCGGCCTGGCCCAGCTCTGGCTGCTGTGACCATTTGGAGAGCGAACCAGCAGATGAAAGATCCCCCTCTCTGTCTTTCCCTCTCTAACTCTGCCTTTTCAAATGAATAAATAATTTTTTTAAAAGAGTACAATCAGCAAGGCTAGAGCCAGACACTGCAGAAACATGACCGCGGCGTTAGCAGCCAGCACGCCTCATGTGCTACTAATGCCTTGTTAAAATTCCTTTGTACTTGCAGAAGGGCCTCCTACAACCCGGTCCCAGGCCCACACCATTTCCCGGCAAGCACCCTGATAAAACACAGCTCATTTTCTCTGGAAATCCCTGCCGCTGGCCAGAATCTTCGCCCAGCCAGGATCTGGGGCCTCCCCCCCTGCAGGGCTGGGTTTCCTTGAGCTGTTTGGCTATGACGAGGGGCTGCAGGCTGTCCACGGGGTTCTGGGGGGCAGAAGCGTGCCGTGCCCCTAGGGAAGTTAGCACCAGCCCCATGTATGCACACACTTCAGCTTAGAATCGCAGATACTTCTCAGAGAGTGTCTGCAACAAATCCCAGGCCACAGAGGCGGCCATCTAAGTCAGAGTCTGGTACAAGGGGGCTCTGGGGAGGAAGGGGAGCCCATTCTTACCTTCTCTAAGCAGATGAAAGAGTTGAAGGGCCCAGCTCTGCTTTGGACTTGAGGGAGTGATTCTTACATATTTGCTGGAACTCTGGCTTTGGGCTTCAATCCCGCTGCACAGAGCAGCCCTAATGACCAGCAGAGTGGCACTGCGCCAGGCCACCTCTGGAAGTCTGTGGCCACACCTGCTGGGAAGTGCAGTTTGGGTGCAGGCGCCTGCAGTGCGCAGCCTCTCCCCGCGCAGCTCTGGCCCGTGTGTATCCTTCCAAATTCCCGATCTCTAGGTCTGGGCTCTGGAGTAACAGGGTTACCTTCCCACTGTCTCCCAGACACCTCTCAGACAGAGACGTGTGGTGTCCGGAGCTCTTCCTGCACGGACTCCTGATGTGCTCCGACATGCACAGCCCACACTGCCTGTGGCCCTCACTCCACTGCCCCAGAGTCGGGGAGAAACAGTAAGCCTTGGACCATCAGAGCAAATTCAATTTTTCTGGCTCGTATGACTTACACGGGGAGTCACTGCGGTCAGTTTAATTCAGGAGAAAATCCTCATCCTGGAACAGGGTCTGTGATGAAGACGGTCCTTGTGCTTTGAGTCAACATCAGTCAACGCGCTCCTTTTACTCAGAGTCCTTTCTGAACCCAGAATCAGGTTGACAAGGCAATTATGTTGAGTAAGAAGCGGTGGGTACAGTTCTTGAGGGAGATGATGTGTCAAACCCAGAATAGGTAGGTACGAAGGGTAGGGCGGGAGGGAAATGTTCCTTTAATAGTCATTATCTGGGTTGTATCAAGTGTCTTTGTTCTCTGGAGCGTCATGTACTCTTCTTGTACGTCCTCTTTTCTTCTTCTTACCTCTCTAGAGGATGGCGGCATAGAGGGGGGACTATCTATATAGGTTTGCCGGGTGGGCCAGTTAGTCATGGCCCAACAAAGGCCCTGTCCTCTGCCCCTGCCCACAGAGGCAGAGGTCTAAATTCCCAAGGGCTGGCCGGTGCCGTGGCTCACTAGGCTAATCCTCCGCCTTGCAGCGCCGGCACACCGGATTCTGTCCCGGTTGCCCCTCTTCCAGGCCAGCTCTCTGCTGTGGCCCGGGAGTGCAGTGGAGGATGGCCCAAGTGCTTGGGCCCTGCACCCCATGGGAGACCAGGAGAAGTACCTGGCTCCTGCCATCGGATCAGCGCAATGCGCTGGCCGTGGCGGCTATTGGAGGATGAACCAACGGCAAAGGAAGACCTTTCTCTCTGTCTCTCTCTCTCACTGTCCACTCTGCCTGTCCAAAAAATAAAAAAAATTAAAAAAAAATAAATTCCCAAGGGCTCACCCTTCAGCTAGGTTGTAAGTCCCCTGGAAGGAAGAAACTAGGTGTTCCCATGTTTCTGTGAACTCCAGCCCCCAACATAATGTGTGCAAACAGGAGACAGAACATGGTTTAGAAAGGACTGTCACCTCACTCTTCTACATGAAAGTGTTTTCCAGGAATTCCTGTGATCTTACGGCAGCCTCGGGGCCCTTCCGGACCAGCCCAGGCTGACCTCTCCAGGAACGTGTCTCAGCGCGGCACCCTCAGCCCGGGTGCACGAGCCTGCACGAGCCAAAGCACTGTACTCTTCCCCTGGGCCTGAGCGCTACCCCACTCTGACCTACTCTGTGAACGCTTTTTTTATTTTTTTAAAGATTTATTTATTTGAAAGTGACAGAGGGAGGATGAGACAGACATCTACCATCCTCTGGTTCACTCTCCAATGCCTGCAATGGCTGCAGCCTGGCGCCAGGAGCCAGGAACTCCATCTGGGTTCCCCACGTGGTGGCAGGGAGCCGGCTCAGAAGCACAGCAATGGGGACTCACACTAGCGCTCCAATAGGAGACACTGTAGGCAGTGGCTAGCCTGCCCCCGGGACCCTTCCTCTGTGGACACTCCACGGTCTCTTTGTGCCCTGTGTTTCTTCTACTCTGGCACACAGCACATCTTTAGTAATTGTGTGCCTTGCTTTGCACTGTTGGCTTTGTAGAGGACAGCGCCATATCCCTGGCTCTTGGTTCATAGTAGACAATGAAAATTTGTTGAATGAATGCACACATAAATATTTGCTAGTGGATCATGTCATGTGTCCTGGGAAGGTGAGAGGCGAACTGTTAGAGTTTGAGTACGAGGTCAGAGCTCTACGACCCCTGTAGGGTCAGAAGCAGGAACTAAGGCAGACTCTGTAAGGCCTGGACACAGCAACGGCTATTGCAGGGGAAGGGGAAAGGGCGCTATTTTGGAGATAATTATGGCAAAGAAGCCCTGACGTGGAAGAGGAGCAGCCACCAAACTGAATCAAATGCCCCGGAGCCAGCTCCCCGCTGCTCCAGGAGTCCCTCTCTTCTGGAAGCTTCCACGCTGCTCCTTGCCTGGCCCACCTGTGAAAACCAGGTGCTGCTAGACTCAGACCCAGTGTGGACGAAGTTTTCTAAATAAAAAATTCTATGCTGAATCCCATTGCTGATCAATACACATCTATTTTGTTACTTCAACTACAGAGTACAAGTGTCAGCGCTGTAAGATAAGTGGACATTTTGACCAAAGGGTTCCTTGACAGTGTGTGTGTTATGCAGTCACTTTCGGGGTGGGTGCTGCAAGGGCAGCGTGGCTGAATGCTGCTCTGCAGGCAGTGAACCTGAGAATGAGTGCGGTCAGTTCAGTCGGCACTCACGGACCAGGATATGCTGGCGACAGGAATCCCCACGCGTGACAGAGCCAGTAACCCCAGAACCTCCACTTTGGTGCTTACCCTCCTGGATTCCACAGGGGACTTCTTTTTGCTGAGGCTGCGACTGGAAGTCCCCGTCTTGGCCCTGTGGTGGAGAGAAGCAGCCCGGGAAATGTTACTGGCAGCAGCAGCTTCATCCACTCGAGCAAATGTGGCCCGAATGAGTATTTCAGCAGCTTGGCTGTTTTCACACCACTCCTGGCTGGCGGACTAAATCGTACGGCCAAACTTTCACTGGGTGCAGCTATGATTCAGTTATCCCAACACCGAGGGAGCCAGGGTTGAGACAGGAAGCATGGGACTGACAGCAGGTATCAGATTTGAAATACTTGATTGTGCATCAAAACCCAGAGAGAAGGAACGCGCGCCTCATATCCACGGAAAACTCGGTCAGACGGAACAGAGCGAATCCCCACCCCCCAGGGTCCTCACCCTGCACCTGGCGCGGCAGGGATCCCCTGGCTTCACTGACGAGCGCACCTGGACAGCACAGGGGCAGTCCCCTCGCGGCTGCTCTCTCACTCTGTCTACCCCGCAGCCGTCACAGGCCCAGGAGATGAGCAGCTGCTGCCAGCCTAGGGTGAGAGCGCGGGAGCTGGAGAACGAGCCACACCCTGGACTGTCCTAGCCACTGCCTCTGATTGTCTTGCTGGCCCATCTGGTCCCTGACAGAGGTGGAGAGAGCACCAGAGGCCTCCACAAGAGTGCCTCCGCACCTCAGGGACGGCTCTTCTCCCTGAGAGCTGAGCGCAGCCCCTCGTAGACACGGCAGCCTGGGCCACCACTTCAGGGGCCAGCTTCCTGGTCACTGCTGTAAAAGGCGCTATCTTTTGTTCGCTCGCACTCTTTCAAAGGCTTCCCTGGATTTCCGTGTGGTATTCTTAGATGTTATGTAAGTCTGTGCCTTCTGATAACACTGCCGAGTACACATTTTTTGAATGCATTGAATCCAGATGCGTGAGGTCTGACTGTACCTCCTCTCAGCCTTCATCTTGATGAACAGACATTCAACTTTGCTGAGAGAGAGGCCGTGTTCAAATGCCAGGGTCTGGTGTTTGGTGCAGACCTGTGACACGGGCATCCAGTAGGAGCAGCAGTCTGAGTCCCGGCTGCTCCACTTCCCACCCAGCTCCCTGCCACTGTGCCTGGGACAGCAGCAGAAGACGGCCCAAGTATCTGGAGCCCTGCTCTCCATGTGGGATACCTGGATCCAGGCTCCTGGCTTCAGCCAGTGGATGAAAGTGCTCTCGCTCTCTCTCTCTCCCTCTCTCTCTCCCTCTCTCTCTTTCTCTCTCCCTCTCTAACTCTGCCTTTCGAATAAATAAATTAATACTTAAAAACAAAAATAAAATTGCGGCTGGCGCTGTAGTGCAGCAGGTTAAAGCCCTGGCCTGAAGCAACAGCATCCTATATGGGCACCGGTTCGATCCCGGCTGCTCCACTTCTGATCCAGCTCTCTGCTATGGCCTGGGAAAGCAACAGAAGATGGCCCAAGTCCTTGGGTCCCTGCACCCGTGTGGGAGACCTGGAAGAAGCTCCTGGCTCCTGACTGCAGATCGGCACAGCTCTAGCCATTGCTGCCAACTGGGGAGTGAACCAGCGGATGGAAGACCTCTCTCTCTCTCTCTAACTCTGCCTTTCAAATAAATAAATGAATATTTAAAAACAAAAACAGATTACATTGCAAATATCAACTTGCTTCCTTTCCTTAGTGCACCCATTGGAATAGGCAGCTACTGATTGAACCTTTAAAAAGAAAGTGACTCACCCCAGGACAGGATGGACCAGCAACCGTAACTGGCAAAGCTTAACTAGGCTGCGGGGCCAGCCTCTCTCCCTCATCACCTAACCAAGCTACAGGGCCAGCCCCTCGCCCGTGTCACTGACCTGGCCGGCTCTGGCCTGCCGGGGGAGCTGGGTTCTTCTGTGCATTTTCGTTTTCTCATCATGGATCCAGATGATTTTGCAGCGAGGACCTTCGGAGAGAAACGTTCTCCTGGGACTGCTTTCCCAGAATTCTCTCAATTCATAGGGTACAGAAGAGAGCGCTGCATCTTTAAACTGCCACATGCAGCTTTCAACATCAGCTTTCCAAGCAAGACCCCGTTCCGCTGGAGACTTAGTCTCCAAAATCTAGCCAAGGGGGAAACATGGCTGCAGGTGCACCATTCTGATTGGACGTGAGCAGCAACTGAGGGGCAGAAGTAAGAGGCAGAGACGGCAGGATTCCGGGGAACAGGAGGTGGAAAGGCCACTTTCACTCTGTAGAGAAGGCGAACTTACCCTGCCAGGAGGGGTGTCCTTCACTGCTTTTCCTGCAATGGGAAACGTGGGCGTGAGAATGCATCGAGCCTCTGTTTTGCCTGGATTTCTGGCTACCGCGTATTTCTCAGAACTGGCTGCAGACAAAACCTTCCCATGTGCCCTTCTCCCTTGTCCCTGGCACCACTTTCCCTAGAAACAGTGTCTTCAAAAGCTCTTCCCCCTCGTCTCAAAACGTTTGTCATTCACAAGCCGAAAAGCTTTGATCCGCACTGCAGCAATACGCCACTTAAAAGGAGATAACAGGAAACAAATGCTACTTCAGGCACCAGTGACCAATCCACTGGAGGCAAGGTCTTCGCACCCTTTTTCAAATCAAACTGCTTACTTTTTCTTCAAGGTGTAAAACAGTCATGACCCTCAGATAGTAAAAATCGGGAGATTCCTTTACAATACCACTAAGGTAAAGGTCACCGGATACAACAGACGGACACGTTCACAGAACAGTTAGCTTCTGCTGATTGCTCTAAACCAGACTTGGCACTTTCCGCTTACCTGTATTTGCATTATTGATATAAATCTAAGTTTGGAGCATTTAATCCTCTTAATAACTTGATGAGAAAGGTACTAGTATTACTCACCATTTCCTCAAGGAGGTGGAGGAAGATCAAGTCATTTATCTAAGGTCACAGAGCTATTAAGTGGCAAGGCCACCCTGGCTTGCTGTGCGTGTTTCCAACTTCCGCACTGTGGCTGGAGCCCAGGCTGGCAGGCCTGCTCACCACGCTCAGCTCCCACTGCAGATCTGTTTTCTTTTCTCCCACCCACACGCCCATCATGTCACTCACCAGGTGACAGGTTTTCCTGAAAGCGGTTCAGCTCCACGTAGAGTGTGAACACAAACGGGTACGGGATCAGGACAGCTTCCCCATGTTTGAATTTCAGGTGAGAGACTCTTTCCCATTTGCTTTTATCTGGGGACGCAGCTAAGGTGTGAGCAGGAAGCCCGCACACACCACGGCCACCGTCTGAGGGGCGACACTCGCTCTCCTCTCCAAACTGACTATGGCTTCCCTGCATCTATGTGAATGTAACATGAGTGGGAGCCCATTTCCAGCCAGCAAAGAAAGGATACAGGGAAATATAACGAAGTGCTCTGTAGTAAAAGGCTGCAGATTGTCCAAGTTTCCCAAGACCACGCGGATAGAATCCTGGAAAAAGTAGTTGAAAATTCTTTCACAAGATTGCTGAGACTCATATTCCCGCTGCTGCCCGTCACCGCTGCTCGCGTGCCCGGGACACGGGACTATTTGCTTTGCCCTCAGTGTGCCTCCCGTTTCTCCACCTCTATGCTTTTGCACAGCTCATTTCCTACCTGAAACACCTGTCCCATCGTCAGCCAAATCCCACCGTAGCCTTCAAGTTCAAGACACCTCCTCCAGAAAGCTTTCCTGATTCCCCAAGTTGTAATCAACTTTTAGACTCAAACTTCACAGTAAGCCCTGGCCCCTTACTACATCCCACACACACACACGTTTCATTTGATCAGGAGACCTGCTGGGAGTAGGACGTGCACCTGACCTATCTTACCATCACTTCTACAGTGTCCACCATAGGGAGTGTTGTATCACAGGTCCTCCATAGACGGTTACTGAGTGAATGAACAATACTAATACTTAAATAGTTATTTTGCTTTTGCCTAAGTGAAACTTTTTTCTATGCTCTTTAAATCTGAATTGATTAACCCCTAATTAATCTATGCCTATTAGTCTATACCAATTAATTAATTTGGGGCCGGCGCCGCGGCTCACTAGGCTAATCCTCCGCCTAGCGGCGCCGGCACACCGGGTTCTAGTCCCGGTTGGGGCGCCGGATTCTGTCCCGGTTGCCCCTCTTCCAGGCCAGCCCTCTGCTGTAGCCAGGGAGTGCAGTGGAGGATGGCCCAGGTGCTTGGGCCCTGCACCCCATGGGAGACCAGGAAAAGCACCTGGCTCCTGGTTCCTGCCATCGGATCAGCGCGGTGCGCCGGCCGCAGCACGCCGGCCGCGGCGGCCATTGGAGGGTGAACCAACGGCAAAGGAAGACCTTTCTCTCTGTCTCTCTCTCTCACTGTCCACTCTGCCTGTCAAAAAAAATAATAATAATAATTTGGAATTATTATAGGACTACTGCATTTCCTAATGTTTTGGCCTATAGTAGGCAGAAACTGTGTCTTGTTTATCTTTGAATTCTCCATTCTAGCATGGTGTCTTGGTTATAATAGCTAATATTTGGGGCTGGTGTTGTGATGTAGCAGAAACAGCCATTGCCTGCAGCGCCGGCATCCTACACAGGCACTGGTTCAAGTCCCGGATGCTCCACTTCCAATCCAGCTCCCTGCTAATGTGCTTGGGAAAGCAGAAGGGGATGGCTCCTGGCTCCTAGCTCTTAGCTCCTGGCTTTAGATCAGTCCAGTTCCACCTGGCCGTTGTGGCCATCTGGGGAGTGAACCAGCGAATGGAAAATCTCTCTCTATCTGTCTCTCTCTGCCTCTGCCTTTCTGAAACTCTGCATTTCAAATAAATAAATCTTTTTTATTTGACAGGTAGAGTTATAGACAGAGAGAGAGACAGAGAGAAAGGTCTTCCTTCCATCGGTTCACCCCCCAAATGGCCGCTACGGCCGGCACACTGCACCGATCCGAAGCCAGGAGCCAGGTGCTTCTTCCTGGTCTCCCAGGTGGATGCAGGGCCCAAGCACTTGGGCCATCCTCCACTGCCTTCCCGGGCCACAGCAGAGAGCTGGACTGGAAGAGAAGCAACTGGGACTAGAACCCGGTGCCCATATGGAATGCTGGCACCACAGGTGGAGGATTAAAAAAGTGAGCCACGGTGCCAGCCCCTTAAATAAATAAATACATCTTTAAAAAAATACTCCTAACTATTAAGGTAGACTGCCTCCCACTAAATGCTCACTAAATCAAAGAGAATGATGATGTCTTCCCCCAAACTAATGCAGTAAGAGAACATAAGAAAAGCACTTTGGAAGCTTCAATATGATACATAAAATATGTAAATGCTTCACAGCTACCACTTACCGAGCTCCTGTGTGGCAGGTATGGCACACACCTATTTCTGATCTGGAAGTCAGGCATTATTAACCCACTGGACAGGTATGGAAACAGACTCAGGGCCGTTAGTCTGCCCAACGTCACACTATGATGGCAGAACCTGAATTTAAATCTAGACTGGATGGTTCTAAAGTCCATGCTCCCTTCACTCTACTATGCTGTTTTGAGCTTTTTTTTCTGCCCAAATTAACTGAAGGTGCTCACAAAATAAACAAAAATTCTCCTGGTGCCATACCAAGTTACTTGTAATTTATGATGTCCTTGAGGGTCCTACAAGGTCCTACTGGATCTTTCAAGATTTAGCTGAAGAGCCACAGGTACCTTAAAAGCTATGCCTCAAAGTTTTAAGCAATTCTGTTTAAGTATATTTTTACTAGTACTCTAATTCCTTGAAATGAGGAAGCATATGTCTTAGTGAGTCACAATAGTCATAAGTTACTGAGTTGCACCGATAGAAGAGGGTAAACCACAGGTTAAGTATTCCTAATCTGAAAGTCCAAAATCCAAAATGCTCCAAAACCCAAAATGTTTGAGCAGTAACATGGTGCCACAGGTGGAAAAGTCCACATCTGACTTTATGTGAAAAGAGTATAAAACTACCTTAGGCTAAGAGTATAAGGCAGAAGTGAAACATAAACTGATTTCACATTTAGGCTTGGGTGCCAAGAAATCTTATTATGCAGAGGCCAATATTCCAAATTTTGAAAAGAACTCTCAATCCCAACCTACTTCACCTGTAGTTTAAACTTCTCAATTTATATCCAGGCAATTTAGAGCCAGGCTGATAAATGATTTGCCAAGGGTAACAAGGGCTAAGCCAGGACTGGAACGCAGGGCCAGCCCCCAGAACTCTACCTCTGTGCCCAGTGCTTTCACCGATTTCCGCTACTGCTAGTCTTCTTTCTGGGGCAGAACTTAAACCAGAGCTGGGTAGAAACGGAGTGGAACTGGAGTGGGAACAGAGCAACTGCAAATGTTTCCAATTCGGTGAAGACACAACAGCCTTGTCTGTGTGTTTACAGTGAGCTTCCTGAACGTCAAGTACCAGGCGGTGGTTAGGGGTGGCTTCCCAGAGCCCTCTAGAAGGCAGCCGTCCTCCGGAAGCTTTCTGGATGCCAGCCGCCACGAGAGAGAGCTGCCTGCCAACGGCTGCGAGTTCTAGTGGAAGCTAAGCAACTCGCAGCCTCCAAGGTGCTGACGCTTCAACTAGAATTCAGAAAGGATACAGGCTTTAAGTTTCTCTGAAAAATGGTATAGTTTCTTTGCAGAGGAAATGTGGAAAAGGAGACGCCAAGTTATCCAGGGCTATCAGTTTGTGCGAAATTCAAGTCTGGACTTGGGCACATCTGTGCCTTCCAGAACAACTGCCCCAGCCTTGTCTGCTTCTTCTCCTACCTCCAGCTCCTCGACGATGATGTCCTTATTTTCTATCTCTATTCCTCTAGAAAGTAAACAAACAGAGATGAGTAAGAAGATGGAAGCCCTGCACAAGCGGACTCTGTAGAGCATGAATGACACTGGTGGTTGGTCTGAGCGCCGGGACAAGGCTGTCCTGAAATGGCTTCTCCAGTAACCTGACAAAACCTGAGATTCTTCCTGTGAAAGTTAGCAGTTTGCTAGACAAGTTACACTCAAAGTGTGGTTTGGAGAACCCGGGGGTTCTTAAGTCCCTTTCAAAGAATCTCCAAGGTCAAAAGTATTTTCTTCACAATAACGGTACTAAGATGTTATTTTACTCTTTCCCCTGGGTTAACACGTGTACCCGTTTGTGCAAAAGCAGTGCTGGGCAAAACTGCCGGTGCTTTTGCAGGAATCTGGGCGGCTGCATGAAGCCGGAGTGGCACCTCAGTACACCTTTCACAGTAATCTCTACTGTGCACGGAGGGGAAATCCTGTTTCATTTCATATCACTCTGGAAGCAGTAAAAAGTTAATGATTTTATAAAATCTCAACCACTGATCACACAGCTATCAAATGTGGTACATGGTAAACCCGGAAGTGAGCATAAAGCATGTCTGCCTACCAAACATGACGGCTGTCTTAGCAAAAGCACTTGTGTGACCGTGCAAGTCGCAAACTGCACTAGCTGCTTTTTTCATAAAATTGTATTTTACTATGGTTTGTCAGACCTGGAAGTTTGACAGACATTTTCCTCAAAATGAATAAAGTACACATCATCATAAGAAAATCAACTGATTGTTTATTTTCAACAATAAATTTGGGGCTTTAAGGCAAAAAACATTTTTTAAAGATTTTTATTTATTTACTTGAGAGGTAGACTTACAGATAAAGAGAGGCAGAGACAGAGAGAAAGGTCTTCCATCCACTGGTACACTCCCTAAATGGCTGCAATCACCAGAGTTGAACCAATCTGAAGCTGGGAGCCAGGAGCTTCTTCCCAGCTCCCAGGTGGGTGCAGGGGCCCAAGCACTTGGGTCACCTTCTACTGTTTTCCTAGGACACAGCAGAGAGCTGGATCAGAAGTAGAGCAGCCAGTTCATGAAGCGGTGTCCATATGGGATGCTGGTACTGCAGGCAGAAACTTGGACTGCTACACCATAGCACCAGCTCTTCAAAGCAAAAATTTGAATTTTGGGAAACTATCCACCATTGTTTAATAGCTTCTTTTTCAGAGAGGAAGAGAGATCTTCCATCCCCTGGTTCACTCCCTTAAATGGCTGTAATGGTCATGGCTGGGCCAGGCCAAAGCCAGGAGCCCGGAGCTCCATCCAGTCTCCCCCTTGGGCCCCCTTGGCTGCTTTCCCTAGGCTATCAGCAGGAAGATGGTTAAGAAGTGGAGCATCTGGGACTCAAATAAACACCCATATAGGATGTTGGCACTGTAGGCAGTGGCTTTACCTACTGTGCCATTGCACCGCCCCCCCCCCCCAAGCTGCTCCACTTCTGATCCAGCTCTCTGCTATGGCCTGGGAAAGCAATAGAAGATGGCCCAAGTCATTGGGCTCCTGTACCTATGTGGGAGACCCAGAAGAAGCTCCTGGCTCCTGGCTTCAGATCAGCACAGCTCCGGTCATTGCAGCCAACTGGGGAGTGAACCAGTGGATGGAAGACCTCTCTTCTCTCTTCTCTCTCTCTCTCTCTCTCTCTGCCTCTCCTTCTCTGTGTAACTCTGACTTTCAAGTAAAATACATCTTTAAAAAACATTAAATCTACCATTTTAATCACAAAAATCAATGTGTTCATCTTATATCTTGTAACTTATATCTTGTAACTTTGCTCTGCTTCTTAGCTCTAATACTCTGTGTGTGTGTGTGTGTGTGTGTGAGTGTGTTTTCTATGTGGATAGTTTCACTTTTCCCTCTCAATTTAGATACATTTTAGTTCACATTATTTCTTGCTTAAGTCCTCTAGCTAGAATGCCAGTACCATTTTGAATAGAAATGATTAAAGTGAGCATCCTCAAGCCAGTGTTTGTAGTAGTGGTTAAGATACTAGGATGTACACATCCCATACTGAGTACCAGTGTTCAACTTAATTCCACTTCCAATCCTAGCTTCCTGCTAACATGTGCCCAAGGGGGCACAAGGTAATGGCCCAAGTGGAATTGGACTGAGTTCTGGGATCCCAGCTTCGGTCTGGCCCATCCCAAAGCTCTTGTGGCCATCTGGGGAGTGAATCAGTGGATGAAGATCTTTCCATCTGTCTCTTTCTGTCATTCTGCCTTTCAAATAAATAAAGGCCTGGTGTCTAATTTAGAAACCTGTATGAAAAATAAATATACTTAATATAAAATACCTGGAAGAGAGAATCCAACAAGGTGCTTCTTCAACTAGTCTCCTGACTGGTTGTGACCTGTGAGAATGCGCTACACTGCTGTACAAGCCACCCTCCTACCTTTACAACTGAACAGATACTCCAACTCACATCTCCAACTTCCTGCTCACCCTGAGAGGTAGCAGGTGGTGGTTCAAGTAGTTGGGTCTCTGCCTCCCACATGGGAGATGTGGACTGATTTTCAAGCTCCTAGCTCTGACCCTGGCCTAGCCCTAGCTGTTGCAGGCATTGAGGAGTGAGTCAGTGGACAGGAGTTCTTTCTTTGTCTCTCTTTTTTTCTTTCTCAAATAATGTTTTTTTTTTTTTAAATTAAGTTACCTGATGCTGTTTCCATATCTGATTTTGAATTTATACACACTGGGACCGACATGAAGAAACCTCGTCTCTGGAAATGGGTAGGTAAATGGTTTTAAACTCATTGCTTCCAAGCGACAGCCTAAATAAAGTAGAAACAGAAGATAATTACTAACATCACATACATTATTAACAAGCTAAAATGGCCTTAGATACAGGAGAGGAGGCCTGCCTAATCTACAGCATCTTTTCATGAGTAAAATGCCCAACACTAGCACCCCTGCCCGTGCACCAGCTTCAGTTCTGCGACTCATCACTGGGTCGTTGCCCTCTGCGCAGGGGAAGGATACATGTTGTGTGAGATGACTTCCATGCTTGAAGTCCCAAGACCAGAATTCACGTTTTGTTGGGTAACTTAATGGCCTTGTATAAATCACTTCTGTTCCATTAGACTCATAATGCTAACATCTGCTCTAAGGACACGGAGTTTCCACTAGAATAAAGAGCTTCTGAGGATCTCTGAATCTGTTCTCTTCCCCGTCCCTATTTTACCTGGAACCAAGGAGGATATGAGGAGGACTCACGTTAAGTAATGAGATAATGCAAAATACGCATCAAGGAGAGGTACAACTAGGAGTTTTCTGCTATTAATTTTAGATAAAATTAAGGGATCACACAGTTCCTGCCACAGCCAATAAGGACGCACATTACCATCTCCCAGTGGTGCCAGGATCGCCTTCTTTCCCCTACCTCTGAATTGCTACTTCTCTCCAGTCTGTGAGGTTTCCTGTGCCCCATGAGGGCCTACTATTTTCCTACCACTTACTAGATTTCTTTCTCCTATTCCAGAATTTTTGCCCCCTTAAGGTCCTTTCTGTAGAGAACCTGGGAAAGGGGAGAGATGGAACAAAAGCAAGATGGCATTTAGCATGCACTCAGAGGTAAGAATCAAGTGCACTATGATTGTCTGAGTCATGAGAGCTTTTCCCATTTGTAAATACAGATAATAAACCCTGTACTCCAGCTCTTCAGATGGGACTTTAAATAGTAATTAGAGGGGCTGGCACTGTGGCATAATAGGTTAGGCCTCTGCCTGTGGTGCCAGCATCCCATATGGGCACTGGTCGAGTCCCAGATGATCCACTCTCAGCTCTCTGCTAATGGCCTTGGAAAGCAGTGGAGGATGGCCCAAATGCTTGGGCCCTGCACCCGCATGGGAGACCAGGAGAAGCACCTGGCTCCTGGCTTCGGATTAGCGTGGTGTGCCGGCCATAGCGGGCATTTGGGGGGTGAACCAACGGAAAAGGAAGACCTTTGTCTCTCTCTCTCTCTCTCTGTCTAACTCTGCCTGTCAAAAAAAAAAAAAAAATAGTAATTAGAGAAAGACATCCAGAGTTCCTGATGGTCAAAGCTACCTTTACACAACACAAGGCACTGATTTCAGAGGTAGCTGACATGGAGTAGACAAAACAGGTACAATTTATGGAAAATCTGTGTTTGAATCTCAGTTCCTTTTTTTTTTTTTTTTAAGGTTTAATGATTTACTTGAGAGGCAGAGGCAGAGAGAGAGAGAGAGAGAGAGAGAGAGAGAGAGATCTTCCATCTGCTGGTTCATACCTCAAATTGCCACAACGGCTGGAAGTGGGCTGACTTGAAGCCAGGAGCTTCATCCCAGTCCCCAACATGGGTGGCAGGGATTCAAGGACTTGGGCCATTCTCTACTGTTTTCCCAGGACACAGCAGAGAGCTGAATCGAAGTGGAGCAACTGGGTCTCGAACTGGTGCTCGTATGGGATGCCCGCAGGTTAGGTGGTGGCTTTACTTGCTATGCCACAGTGCTGGCCCATGAATCCCAATTCTAATAACACTATAATGTATCTGCGCCTTGGTTTGCTTATTTATACAATAACAACTAACACTTTCTGTCATGTCCTATTCTAAATGCTTGACATACTATCTCAGCCTCACAAGCCTCTGAAATAGTGTCAATTTGGTAGATGAGGAAATGGAGGCACTGGAGGCAAAGTCATCTGCCTGTAGCTATGAATGATGGAATGTGGATTCCAACCGAAGCAGCATAAATCCAGACTTGATAGTCCCACCCACTCTACCAGTATGCTCCTTTGGGTTATAAGGAGGAAAAACAATCAAGATAATAAACAAAAAAAAAATCACTTTGTAAGTAACAAAATACCATAACGCACATAAAAGACTATTTTCATTATTCATTCCTCCATATTATCCTGATGCCAATTCTACTCGGCGGGGAAGACTTGTATGGTGGAATCAGAAGATCCGTGTGCCCAAAGGGTAAAATTTCCCACAATTTCCAAAGTTCAAGTCTGGGGCTGCCAGTAAGGAGATACCTTAGTGTCTGATCTCAGATGCTTGGGATTAGAAGGACAGGAGATTGGAGCCAGAGCCCCTGGGACTATTTAGACTAGAATCGCAGTTTAAATAAAAACAGACAGTTTTTGCCAAATGCAGACTTACTGGAGGGGAAATACTGTTCATATCCTGAGAAAAATTTGCTGATGCCCCATGTCCGAGGCATGGCAGGAACCCAGGCTTGCTCTGCTGGAGTTTTGGAGCCCGACGACTTTTCAAAGTAGGCAGGGAGCCTACCTGGGGAAGTAAGGCTGCTGCCACAGAAACTTGGCTCTCAATTATTCAGGGGGTTCTTCTAAGCTCTGTCACCTCCCTACAGACTGAGGTCGGGGCATCAGAGCAAAGGAAATGAAGGCCATTTGCTGGAAATGACAATCCAGAGAGGAAATCTGTGCTGCGCTACCGCTGGCTATCTGAGAAAAGAAAAATAACCCTCTTCTAGCCAGGGCCTGTTCCAGCTAATTGCTGGCTGCCCGCTTCAGAAACAAACACCACACACTAATTACTTCATTTGAAAATAAAGATTAGACAGCATAATTCAAGAGAAACACATAGTAGTAGTGGTTCAAAGATTTCACAGGGCTGTTTTCTAACACTGGGTACTGTAGCCATGGTGACACTATGTCCTAGTAACTATCATTAAGTTGGTGGGATCTTGCAGATGAAGGGTCAGGTTTGACTCATTTTTAGGTGGTCACAAATCATGATGGCTTTAAAACAAAGAACAATTACAAACAGTATGGGTTAGTGCAAGAGACATATGAATTGAAATTAGAGGACCAAAATTTGAGTTCTACTTTTGCCCCTTATTTGTCATTATGCCCTGAGCAAGTCACCTAGTCTCTTCATTCCTTAGTTTCCATATCTACAAATGGAGATTTCACTACCCCTGCACTGTAGGGGGTGGGAGGGGGATGGTTAAATGAGGCAATACTGTAGGCAGCACTTCATAAACTCCAAAGTATTATATAAACATCAGCTGTTATGATAGATTAAAGAGTTTTTCTCTTAATGCTTCAGAAGAAAAGCAAATTCAAGAGACCAAAACTCATCTCAACACAAAATCTGACAAATCTCAACCAAGAACCTCTCCTTGAAAATATCCAAGAATTAGAGTTAAATGACACGAAGGGACTGATGTTAGACTTTTCAAGATTTTAGTCATTTGTTTCACCTCAAGAAGCATATTGGTCAGTACACAGAACCTGAAGTGGGACAGACTGCCCTGAGGGTGATGATACTGCCGAGGTGGAAGGAGATGATAAGAAAACAGTGTCTATAAATACTCACATATCTGATGATATGTGATGGAAAAATCTTCCACGATGTTGAAGAATGAAAGTGCTTCTATAAGCATTTATGCAAAACATACGACAGGCTCTCTGGCTACTCATGAGTGTGGCAACAAAGCAGGGAAATCTCACTGATGCTATGAATCCAACATCCACGTTTTGGAGTTGATATTGAGGATGGATGACCAGCTCCTTCCATTTTCAAAAGTCCTTGGCTGGCCTCAGAGGTCTGCCCACCCTCGCTGAAACAGACTCATACTCTCTAAAAGCCTATATTTCCAACTAGAACTTCATAGGCGCCTCTAAGTGGAAGTGCCTTTCATTTTAGAAGGGATAAGAAGGAAGTAACTCCATCGGAGAAAGAAATGACTTCCACAAGGTCACATAACCAAGTATGGAACCGGGATTAGTCCCCCAAGACTGCTGAGGCCTTTGTCTCACGCCTTTTCCATTGTAACAGCATCCCGTGAGTCACTTTATTAAGCTGTGCCCATGGTGACTCTCATGACTCTGGGTGACTCAAGGCAAAATCATCCTGGGTACAAAGACGCCAAACCAAAATGTAAGCTTTTCTGATGAAAGGTTCTTAGACTTATAATTTGGAGTGTGAAAGGTTATATTCACATGTGTTTGTCTTCAAGTCGTATTTTCAAAAGGAATTATTCTGTTTCCTCACTTTGCAAGTTGATTAGGAGGGTTAATGAAATAACGCATGTATAATTATTTATTGTAGTGCTTAGCAAATAGGTTACCCAATAAATAAGTAATTTTTTAGGGGCTGGGGTTGTAGCGTAGCAAGTTAAAGTCTCAGCTTGCAGTGCCAGCATCCCATATGAGCGCCAGTTCAAGTCCCAGCTGCTCTACTTTAGATCCAGCTCCCTACTAATGTGCTTGGGAAAGCAGCAGAGGGTGGCCCACATCCTTGGCCCTTGCTCCCAGGTGGGAGACCTGAAAGAAGCTCCTGGCTTCTGGCTTCAGACTGGTTCAGCTCCAACCGTTGTGGCCATTTGGGGAGTGAACCAGTGGAACGGAGACCTCTCTCTTCTCTCTCTCTTTCAAATAAATAAAATTTAAAAAAGAAGTAATTTTTTTAAACAAAGTGTTCAGATACGGACAGGAAGAGGTTAAAGACCTAAGACTCTCCAGGATACTCCTATGTTTATGATGGCAGTCTATTTCCTCGTAAGTCTCTTCCCACTTTTAGGTAACGCATAACCTTTAAAATGCCAACGGTATTTGTGCAGGAGCACATTTGTCCTTGAAACTGTGACAGATTTTGTTTTGTTTTGTGGGGGGGGGGGTTGCATGTAATTAAACCTTATAGGAAGACACCCTGAAACAAAATCAAAATGCCTTAGTGGACCACTCGATAAAGCAGCAAGGAGTTTCTTTCACCTAAGTGCGTCTTCTGCTTCCACCTTCATCCTAGAATCTAAAGAAGACTACCTTTGGTCAACAGGTG